TGAGTGGTGCTGATGGCTATTTACATGGGGATTCATGTAGTAGGTTCTGTTTTCCAGGATGAAATTTATGCATGTTATAACAAGCTATCTCATTTTATCTCAGATGTGCAAGAAATGTTTTGCACTACTAATTTTGCTTCTTAAGTTGACAACTTATTTATTAAAATGTAGGATTAGAGCCCAAATATGACCCTGTATTGGGGTTGTTAAACGCTGGTGATGTTTTCAAGAAATAGCTTGTTTTGCAGAATTTCTTCTAACATTGTACTTCTTTCTTTCTCTGTTGTCTGTAAAACCCAGAGTCTATAAGGACTCCTTGGTGGTGTAATTTCTGTGAAGCACATGGGTGTTTGTGCCTGTAAGAGTTTTCTTACAGCGGTCTTGTTTACAATAGTCTTTTCTTACAGCAGTCAAGGTATTTTAGAACATTAATGGGAAGCTCTTGATTTACTGCTTAGCTGTTTTCACTGAATTTACATATACATAGAGATTAAATACTGACAGTGTTTATGCATGAAAATTTAAAGGTTGTTGTCTTTGAAATTTTATTATTCACCTCCTGTATCAAACTCTAGAGGCGAGCTGTGGGAAAAAAAAAGGTTTTCTTGCTTTTTGGGGCGTTTTTAAAATTGGTTATTCCAGTTTAAAGGAGTTCAGTGATCCTTTTGTAATGTATGGGAGCCATATCTCTTTGCAGCTTCTGGTTTTTGGAGGGGTTTGAGGAGCCTGATCAGATAAGAGAGAGATGAAACTCTTATCATGATTCAGTGCATTTTGTTAACAGCTGCCTATCTAGTCCAGTGCGATTATGTTTCTCAGGAAAAAGCAGAACTGTTCTATAACAAAGAATAAAATAAAAAAAAAAAAAAGAAAAATCAGCAAGGGGCAAACGCACCCTCTCTTTTTAGCTTATTTTTGGGAGTGTGGTTTTTTTTTTAAAGGCTTCATAGGCCATCTTATCCATAAACAAGAAGTTGAAGACTGCTGGTTTGCTCCTTGTGTGTGGCAGAGCGAGAGAATGGTTAGCGCAAATGGTTTTCAATTTTTATCACTTTTGCTGCTGAGGAGTCTGGATTACTGCAAGCACGGCTATTGTCAGAAAAACAGCTGTGGGAAAACAGCATCTTTTGAACCTGAGACTTGGAATTCAGAGACTATTTATTTTTTGAAGATACGCATTTGGATTTAGATTGCTTATGTGTGGCTGCAGGCTGGTATGAGTTAGCCATTGGTAATGTAGTAAACTGCCTGTAGGCGTAAGGAGCTGATGGTACTCTTCAGGTAGTAATTGGTGAGGCTCTTAACAGGAGGCTGTGCATGAGTACTTTTAATTTTTTTTAAAAACCTAAATGAAATGTTTGTTTTCGCCCTTCTCAGCCCTGTGTAGCTGAAATGTCCATATAAGATCAAGCTGGATTCTCTTCTGGCTGATGCATTGCAAACATGTGCTTAGAGAAGGGTTCAGAGGGCAGACTGTTTTTAACTTGTGTAGTGACGTAGGGTTGACTTTCTGTTTGCATCTTGAGTAGACTCGGCTGGCAGCGAGGAAGAAAACTGTGTAGAAAGAATAGATTGCAATAGGATCCCTTGAAAAATAGTCCTGCGATTCTTTCATACCAGGCTACGGGTTTTTGTTGGTTTGTTTTTTAACAGAGAACTATACAAGTCAGATGTGGACTTTCACATACCATTATATTAATTAAAGGGTTGCAAATGCAGCACGTTAACATAGTATTAGGGTGAAAAAACCTGTACTTTGAATGTGAGCAGTCTCGTATGTGTTCACAGCAGGTAGCCTCCATCACTGGAGCACGGGCTCTGGGCTCTCCACCCTTCTCCCTGGTGGTCTGTCCCCCAGGCAGAGACAAAAGCGGTGCTGCCTTGGAGCTATGCTGATGTTGCTCCTTGGTCAGAGGTATTGCTGCATGGCTGGCCGTTTGTCTGCATTTGTGGGGTGTGAAATCGGTGCCACAATCTTCAGGCTAGTGAGAATGTTCCGTTTGTGAATTAGTTTGAAACCAGGCTTTAGCATGGCAGGAGTGCAGGGAAGCAGTCTTGCATCACTGGATGCTGAGCTCCACTCAACTCCCATATGTTAAAATGCACAGGTGTAATGGGATCCAGGGGCAACCAGCATGGCTGTGCTTTCACCTTGAAGAGCCAAGAGCATGCCTGTGTCATATCACTGTCTTATTTTCTCTGTAGTCTTTTTTTCCTCTAGAATAAGAATACCATCTAAGAAGGGATTTTGTGTTTTTAAGAAAAGCAGTCTAAAAGAAAGAGAAGAAACTTGGGTGATGGTCAGAGCCCTGACAATTCCTCAAGGGCCCTGGGGCACCGCTGGTCCAGGGGCACCGCTAAGGCTCATCCCAGCACCAGTATTGCCCGGGCTGCGTGGAGGGGATGCCTGCACTTGCCTCTGCTCCGGGGTGCACCTCAGTCCTACCTTGTCTCCAGCCTTGTCCCCTGTGACATCCATCCTGCTGTCACTTCTGCAACGGTGGCCCTGCTCCTGCTGTTCCTGACCAAAACCCAGCAGGAGATGCTGGGCACCAGTGGGAAGCACTTTTGCACATTTCTGTCTTCCAACAACAGGTTCGTGTTTATTGATTACCTTTTGTAGATCTTCAGAGGCGGTTGGTGGCTCCCTCAATGTCACCGTGAACAGTGTGACAGCCACTACTGCATATTGTGCAAGATGTGTTTGTCTTGTTGCACTGGAATACATAAAAAGCTTCAAGATATGCTATGGGGGAAAATCCTGAAGTATCAGAAAAGATCAAGTGAGCTGACAGTATAACAAGGTAAATGTGGACATTCAAAGTAAATAATGCAATGAGTGAAGCCCAGCATTAAGTAATGCTGCAGGGGGCTTTTTGACTAGAAATTGGAAATTTCTTCTTTAAAGGAGCATTGCTCAATTAAAAGTTAATTGCAATTGTTTTCTTTTAAAGTAAGCATATATAATCTCAGATATAATGTAAGCGGTGAATGTGGTCTTTATACACTTCAGGTGAAGCTGAAACTTGGGTGACTTGACGTACACTTTCAACTCTGCTTTGTAACTGCCTTCAGAAAGTTACATAAAATCTTTACCTAGTTCCTGCTCTGGTCAACTGAGTGATGATACCTAGAGCCTAATTCTTCAGTGCCTTGAAATCATGACTAAGAAGTGCTGTGAAAATGCACATTAGTGTAAATCATTCAAAGTGCTATAATTTTAAAATGCTTTACCCTTCACCATTTGTGATGTTTAATTTTTTTTGCATCTAATAATTTTGCTTAGGGAATTTATTCCATTTTCTTTTTAGCTCATGACCTGGCACAACAGTGCAGTGTTTGGGCTTCTAGGAAGACATGAGTTTAACAGGAGTTAAAATAAATTTTTGTCCCTTAAATACAAAATAGCATCTAAATTGGTCTGAACATGCCTTTGAAAGGTGAGATATATATATATATGTATATTGTTTAATTTGAGCTAGAACTGTATTACTGAGTTTCAAAATTGGTATGTGCATGTACAAGTGCATTTGTGCCCACAGTCCTCTGTGTGCATGCATACTTTATAAAAGAAAGAAACGAAGGAATCTGGATTGATGTAGATTATTTAACCTTGGTCTCTATTATCTCTTGCTTAAAGGGATATCTCAGCTGCTTCTGGCTCCAGTGGAGGATGCCATGTTACAGCAATAGCCTTTTCACTGCTGAGACAGGGCAGAGCTGGGATATGGTCTGAGGTTGTCTGATTCTGGCACTTGACTTGTCTTTGGGAGCTGACAACTGACAGCTGGAATGGCTTGGGGCTGTATTATACATATAATTGTATGCTATATATGTATATTATATGCTGGGGCACTTTGTCGCCTGTGGGAATGTGAAAAGTGGGTATAGAAAGGAATAGGCAAGTACCTTCTTCCTTAATAAGGGAGGCGTTCTAGTGGTGAACTGTGTTTTAGGAATGAATGTGTAGATTATGTGTGTGTGAACATACTTAGACTTTTTTGTCTCAATTTTTAATAAAATATGTTGAGATGGGACATCTCAATACTTTCAATGTTAAAGAAATGGAGCTTGTCAAATAGCTTTAATGCCAGTGTCCGTAAGAGGCAATGTTAGCTTTTAGGCTAGGAAAGGTCACCACGTGGCTCCACAGCAGCATTTAATTTAAGATGTAACTTGTCGAACATGCTGGTGAAAGAAAAATTTAAAATAGGCATTTGACTTAGAATTTTAAGTGTCCTCCCTGTACCGGGCCCTTATTTTTTTTTAAACTAATGTTTTTGCCTCAAGCCTGGCATGACCTGGAGGAGATAAGGCAGCACTTCTGTGCTTCTAGAAGATAGTTTGGGTTAAGGAGTATTATGCGTGGTTGTTTGCCTGTGTCCTGCTGCCTCTTCCCGGCTGTATCATGAGAAGAGGTGAGGGAAGCTGCTTACTCTGAGCAAGCAGCTATGCCTTCCCGGTTCCTGGCTGCTGCCCAGGGGTTAGGGAGAGCCAGAAGCGGCTCTGAGTGTCTGGAGGCGACAACCGGCAGC